GTGTATCTGACAAACCCAGAGAACACTTTCATCCCAGAAATCTTGCATATTATTTGGGGTGGAGGTAAGCTGCATGGGAATTACTTGTTTTGGTGGGTTTTTTTCAGTGGTGGCATGGGCTAAGTACACTTGTAATAAAATGTTTCAAAAATAGGATTTACTATAACTTCCATGGATCTTGGGGGAAGAAGGAAGGCAAAAAGGGGATTGAAATAATAAGGTCACTGTAATTTTTAATTTTTTTTTTTTTTTTACATAAAATTGGATTCCAATGGCAGGCAGCAGAGCCCCATCCAGACAGGTTTAACTGGCAGCCTTCCAAAAGTGAGATGAAAGGTTCTCGGAGTAGTAATTGTCTAAATGGAACAGACTCTGGTTATTGTGCAACTTCTTCATCTACTTTATTGTACCTTTGTAATTAAATGATGTATTTCCTCTTTTCTTTCTTGTTTCCCTCTCGACTAGTGCAGAAAAGCATCTGAGCAACATTGCCATAGGTTGCAGGCAGATAATGTGGCTTCCAGGTTGTTTTTTTTTCTGGGTCACTACAAGTCGTATACAAGGAGTTGCGAGCTGCTGGTTGCCAAAGCAGGACATAAACTCTGCCTTCTCCCGACCACGAATGGACACTTACCTGCATTTCAACTCTCTGCTTGCTGTGCTGTGGAAGTAGTTGGTTCACTGGGATTTTTTGGTGGGGTGAGGAAATACCACTTTTGCTAGAAACTCAGTGGTAAACAGGCAAACTGTGGCTCTAATAGGATATAGGGAACACTATATTCAAAGGGGCTTTAAGCAGCAAGGTTGTTTAATCCATGGAGGAGACTGGACACACACCTGAGAATTGGAAGAAGCTTAGAGTACTGTGCTGAACAAACCCAGAGCCAGCCTTTCCTGACTCTGCAAGGCTTTAGAGATCTGGACTCTAGTCCCGAAATGCTAAAAGACTTGATCAGGTGCGAAAGCAGAATCAGAGGACCAGCTTTATAAGATTTTTCTTTTTGACTGGTCCGTCTGTACAAGAGTGCTTTCCCTCAGTCCAAGTAGCCCATTCACAGGAATAAAGATTATTCAGGCGAGTAAAAGTTAGCAAGACTAGGCCCTGAGTTTGCATGTTCAGCTCCAATAATTTCTTTATTGACTGTAATTTCTGTTGTCACCGGGTTTTTTTTGGTTGTTTTTTTTTATTCATGATAACAAAGAGAAGAAATTAACTCCCTAATTTTGATACAGCTTTAGACTATTTTTCAGGCTGTTGGTCTCATGCCTGCCTGCCTCTCCCTGAGCATGCTTACTTGTGACAGTCTGGTTTAATACATTGCCTATTTGTCTAATTGTATTATTTTGAAATATGCACATGAGTTCTATGGAAATATAGCAAAAATGGATAGGAGAAATTTAAATAGGGCCAACTATTTTATATATGCATTCATATCTATTACATCTATCCATAAGAAATCTGAAGTAACAGATCTCCTGTTTTTCTAGCAAAATCCAACATTAAGGTTTTTATTTATTTGCCAGAAAGTAAAAACTAATAAAGACGGAATAAAATTACAGAAAGGACCCAGCTTATTCAGAAACAAAACTAGTTTTAAAACCACTGGCATCAGAATACCACCAAATACCATAGGGCCTGATCCTGCCACAAGCCATTGCCTACAGCTTGTATTAATTTCAGCAGAGTTCATAAGCAGAATAACTGCAGGGTATCTGAAAAGCTAGTTAGGCTCTTACTGACCATTTTTTTCTTATTCTTTGATAGACAAACCTATCATTCTCAATACTGGAAGTTTTGCCTAGGGAAAAATGTAGGATATATCTCAAAATAAATGGATCACTTAGATCCTGTCCAGCGTAAAACAAAACAAAACAAAACAAACAAACAAAAAAAACCCACCCACCACAACACCAACCCCACCAACCCTTAATAGCATTTACATTCAATTGCATGTAGCATTACACACAATATTTGGGGGCCAGAACCTGGATTAGTTTACCCACTTCCAGAAGAGGTGTGCTAGATTAAATTAACAGCTGGCAAAGGAAGGAGTGTAAAAGGCCTACATACAAGTAACATCCTCTTTTATATGGTTTTTGCCCTGGAGCTCATACAGACTGACATTTCATCTGTGAAGGAATATGTACCCCAGTCAGGGTATTTGATTACTACAGGTAGAGAATATCTGCAGCTCTTCACAGCTGCACAGGGCACGCTCTGCCCAGGCACGCAGCCCTGAAACCTCCAACTCCACAGGAGTGTCTGCTGTGGAAATAAAACTAGAAAAGCAAGGTGGTGCTGTCAGAATAAACCTGGAACACCTGACTCATTTTGAACTCTCAGCTGTTCTCAAGATCGGACAGTGACAGCAAATGTACTTATTCCACTTTCATCATATAACAGGATCGTAAAGAAACAGTCTAGTAGCTGGTCTTAGGTAGGAACAAGGACACTAGCTGACTACCCATGTAAAGCTGATTCCTTCTAAATCAGTGATTCCAGCACACAGGGATTTTTAGCAGATGTATATTTTACATTACTTTTTGGTAAGGGGAAAGTAGAAAAAGTTCTTTTTGATCTAACAAAATATAAAGTGGACAAGCAATCCTACAATATCTCCAGTTCTATTTCTGAGCAAGTCAAACACTCTATTTTATCAAATTGCCATTACATTTGCTTTTCTATGTTATAATCTGGAGGTGCCAAAGGAACACACCTCTATAGCATTAGTGCCAATGGGTGTCTTAGTGGCAATTAGTGTCAATGGGAGTTAGAGTACAGGTAGATCCTCACTCCAGACAGACCATCAAACAAACTATAATGTTGCTATTCAGTGCTACATGTATTCCTCCTTTAACATTTCTCTCAATGTCCAACTAAGTTTGTTAAATGTGTATCAAAAAATGTTTAAAAGTAAAGAGTTACACACATCAATATTTGCACATACCTCCCTTAAGTGCACAATTTGCACTTCCGACCTTGGGGAGTGACTCTGCGAAGTGGCTCTCTGGCCATCTGCAGACACACATGTCCAGGCAATAGGTGTGCAGCAATGCACACTGTGCCTGAGCCCAGGAATCCCTCGCTGCCAGCTGAATGCTGCATATTTAGAGTTAGTTCACTACACACACACACACTCCTTCACCGCTCATACACACACATGAACACACACAAGTTACAGCAGGATCTTTTGATGACTATCTTCTCCTGCATTTAACCAACTCAGCTTGAGTCCCCACACTTTCTCTATGGTTAACATCTAGAAGAGCTGCCGTTACTCAGAGCCAGTGCCAGGAAATTTCAACAGATTCTGGCAGGATAAATGGATGTTCCTGAACCCAGGACAAGGCAGGAGGTGAAAGAGGAATGCCTTGCTTATTTCAAAATTAAAAACCTCTCTAATAACTGAAACTCCATTTGTCAAAGGTGAGCTCTGGAGACGTGTTAGCCCACTGTCAAGGTTGAATTTCTTTGTTTATGCCCTGAGCACAGCAAGTACACATGGCAGAGTGATCCAGCCCTCCATGGCCAGCCCAACACATCTGTGACCTCACCTAGATGGAGAAGAGGAATCCCTCCCTCAGCACTGAAACCAGCAGCAGGGCGCCAGGGGGCTGACAGGCTTTGGACACGTTCATTTGTCCATTATAAATAGAACTGAAGCCACCAATTGATTTCATGGGGGTTGTTAAATTAGCAGCTAGACACTAAGGGTCACTAGCAACACAGACAGGACCCCAAATAGTGATCTAGGTTCCCTGCTACACCACCTGTTTGTACAGTTTCAGTGCAAGTCTATACCATGCTACTCACCTCTTCTGCTCACTTTTAAAACATATGGATCAAAATGTATACATTGGCAAACATATGTGAGAGTATATCCCTCACGAATAATTAGCTTTAAGCAATAATTCCGCTTGCAGTGTCTGAAGAGGGAATTAATGCAGGCTATCAAGGGAGTTCGGGACCGAGAATACACTTAGAAAACAAGTATTTTTAAAGATTGCATGGTGCAAGAAGCAATGATTTCACTGCAATGCAAATAAACCATTGGGGAACCATCTGAATGCAACAGAAGAACCATGGGAGGGAAATGTTTTGTTGTATGGAGTAACCATGCTGTGTGGGTAGCAAAGATGCTGCCATCCTTTACTGAAATCCTCATCATCCTGCAAAAACATGTATCTTTTGTAGACAGGATGTTTAGGCTGGGATTTATGCATATCTCCCCTTCCTACACTTCAGATCAAAGAAACATTTGAGGCAAACTGACCATCTCCTTGAACTGGTACCTTGGGGGGAAAAAAAAGTACCAAAAGACAAGAAAAATATAGCACAAAAATGCTACAGGCAGACGGATGCATCTCCACCCCAAGAGAAAATGATTCCTAACACTTCTAATAAATTCACGTAATGTTTTGTAGACACTGAAAATATTCCAAAGCACAGCTCAGTGTAAACAGCAAGCTGGGTTTCCTCCTGCTCTTTAGCATTTCTCTTTGTTTACTCTCCATTTGAGGATAGAAAAAGCCTACATGTGAGCACTGCAAATGGTGTATTTCAGGACTGATGGGGCATTTGGTAAGGGAATGATGAAATACAGACATACGTAGCCTCTAAATCATATATACTTTGCCTGAGTCACCAGGGTCAAACAAAATCCTTTATTAATACTTTTTATTTGTATGTGGAAAATAATCTGATACCATGGTGATGGGCAACCTATATTAAGCTGAGAGAGAGACATGAGAGAGACATTCTGGGGTGTGCCTGCTCTCACCCCCACTGCTTTCTTGCTCCCAAACCCCACACCTCAGCAGTAGACAGCCATGGGAAACTGCCCTGGCAGTGCTTTGGGAAGCCATGCCCAGCCAGGCCAGTTCACCCATCGCAAGGAGAGGTACTTGGCTAGAGACACCAGCTCCCATCTGTGAGCCCAAATGGCTCCACTCAGCTCAGGAGGGCCTGGCACATTGATTTGGTAAAAAACAGCCCTTACCTTTGGCAATCAGCTCCTCCAGCTCTTGGTCGAATCCTTGTCGGTGGCATTTCCTCCAGAGCCCCATGTTGGTCGAGTTGTACTGTCTGTTGCACTCGTCGACTGCGCTCATAGCAAAGATCTGCCTCCTGTTTCTTGCCAAGAGGAGTTTCCCTTCCCAGCGGTCCAACCTAGACCTGCTGGCCCTGAGAGGCAGGTTGTTGTTGGAGTTATAAATGAAGCCAGGATCATTTCTCTTAGTGGTGATGCTCTTGCACCTCTCTCTGTGCTTCCTGGCATCAGTTTCGTACCAATGGTCAGAGCAGATTGCCACAGCCAGCATGCCCAGGGCACACAGAGCTAAAGAGAGGCCAGCATACAGCAGTAACCTTCCAGCAGCCATACCTCAGCTTCACAGAAACACCATGGACATCTTCACAACAGGCAAAGCCCTTGAGCGTGAGACCACGCAAAAGCCTCCGGAGCAGCTGCTCGGTGTCACTTGGCAGAGACTGCCTCAAACATCCCCAACTCCCGTGGCGCACATCCACGCTGCAGAGGGATGCTGAGAGAGCTACAAAGTTCTGCCCTGGGGGCAGTCCTGGAGTCTCATCTGCCTCTTCTCTGCGGAGGAGACCTGGTGAGGAGAAACACAGCCTTCCACCTCGAACGGCAGCGAGCCAGCGACCCGCCTATACAAAGATGTCCTGCTCCCCTCACCACTAGCACCCGAGCGACGGGGCCCGAAGGGGTATCTCCGCCTGAAGAGACCTGAAAGCTACGGCTGATCAGTCCATTAATCTCTTTCGATCTGGCCAGCTCAGGAATCCAGAAGAGATGGCTTTCAGATCAGCAGGCTCACCACAGCATCATCACAGGACATCACTGAAAAGTTCAACAGCTAGAGATCACCCGCTTGCAAGCAGCCGGTTATCCCGGTTTCAGGAAGGAGTGACTTGCCTTTTCTTTGTCAGGGGCTCGGCAAGAGCATCGTCGTCTGGACGGTCTGTCACTTGCTTGGGTTTAAAGCGGGGTCGGAGGGGAGGGAGCAAGAGGGGGGAGCAATCTGTTGTTGCTGCTGCTGCTCTAAATCGCGGCTAAAACACAACCTCCCCGGCCGGGGCTGGAAAGGCAGGCGGCGTGCGCAGGTCTCGCTCTCCCTTAGCAGACTTCGCGGACAGTCACTGACATCTCGGCTTCGGAAACACCTCGGCTTCTCTCCGCCAGCCTTGCCATTCACTCGCTGCTTTGCTCGTCTGCACTGTCATCCAGGCAGCGTAACGCCGCGTTCCCTTCCCCCGGAGAGCCCCAGCACCGCTTCGGCGGCACCTCCCGGCTCCCGGCCCGGGGAGAGGCGGCGGGGGCAGCCGCAGC